TAACCGATTTAACATTGCGCGGAATAGTCAGAAATATTATTTCTAATTACGCCATGTTGCAATTTTGATAGTTTATATTTTGTAAGCCATTACACTTGAAATCTATTAGTATTAGGAGAATTGCGTCTTATGTTTGTCTTAATTTTGGTTTTAAAATAGCATTACTAAGAAAATTATCATAGACTACACATTATCTAAAAACTGTCTACAAGACTAAATAAAAACTGTCTTGTAGCATTCTAGAAGTGTTACTTGAGAAAAAAGATAAGAATCACTCTTAACACTACCTACAGATAGTTTCTCAAAGCACTCTTGTGATCTAATAATAAAGTTGTGCCCACTTTTACTTTAAATTACCTAGAAACCTTCTTCGAGATATTTTGGAATTTGAACTCTTAAAATATTCAATCGAATTAAATTCTATTAGATGTCTTATAGTATATATTTAGATATGGCTGTGCTGCTTGGGTATCTACATATATTTAGGTATAATAAAAATATAATATAGTTATCGATTAAACCTCTGGTTTTTAATTTACATAAAATCAGCAAGCAAGACTGTATACTCTAAAACTCTACCTGGTTAAATATTATATCGAGAATGAAGCGACGAAATATAATAGTTGATCAAACGAACTTCTTGAAGTGAACTTCGATCACTATTATGTGAGTCGCTTCATTCGAAGATATAATCAACACCCTCCCTCCCTTGACATCGTCATATCAGAAGTAAAGATTCTGAAACTCCCAAATAAGTTTTGCTTCCCTCTCTTAAAGAAATGAGGATAGAAAATGGCGGTTGATGCCTGGTAGGGAGTGTCAACGACAAAACATTTTTTTTCTCTCTAAAAACCGTGCGGTGTTGCCTAGCAAGTTAAGGAAACTACCTGGTTAAATATTATGTCTTCGAATGAAGCGACTAACATAATAGTGATCGAACTTCACTTCAACGTTCGTTTGATCATCTATTATTAAGTTGATTTAAAGAAATATTTAATAGCAGTTTTATTAGAACTCAAAATGGCAAAGAGTCATTAAATACGTTTTTAGGCTTTTGAAAAAGATATAAAAAGTTTAATTTTAATAATATGTTTCTAATAATACATACTTTCAACTCTAATACGGTATCTTTATTTTTTTAATCGGTACAGTACTTACGGAGCATGGCCGTTCAATATAGGAAAAAGTTATTAACTGCTCTCCTGAAATTTTTGTTTTTGATAGTTAATGACTTCTTGCAATAAGCCGACGATTTATGGTTTATTTATATGATTGCAACGTGAAATATCTTGTTCAAATCTATTACCTATATACCTAATTTCATATTTACCTGATTTCACAAAAAATAATTGAATATCAATTCAATAAAAAATCAATATATTGCCTATAATTTTAATAAAAATATTATTATTGGTTTTGTCTTGCCACTAAAAAAATTATTGGTACTTAAATTTATGATGTTTAATTATTTCTTTTTGGAGTCGGTGCCAGCCAAGGAAAGAAAAACCAATAAATACCTTAATAGATTCTAATGCTATACAGTAAGTTTGTAAACTTGCATTTTCATGAAAACCGGTGTGCGAGCCACTCCATCGCTGAGGTCACCAAAAATTATTCGTCAAAGATGCTTACTTACTTGGATTACCTACCAAAATCCATGATAGTGACCAAGTGGTACTAATAAGTAATAGGATATTTTTTTTTACATTCCCCACCATAGTATAGAGGACCATTTTTTTAGACACGGAAAATTTAATTAGTAATTACTAAATTAGTAACTATATTCGACTATTTTTCGGTAAAGACGACAAAATCGAAAATCGGATTTAGGATAATGCGACTATCGATTTATTCCAGTTTTTTTAGTAACAATCGCCCATCGGTAAACTACACCCAAACCCACAAGAGAAACTAATATAACACCAAATATTTCTCCCGGCCCGGGCGAGGAACCTGGGACCTCTGCGTTACGCCGATTGACAAATCTTTTCACCACGATTGCAAAGCACCTATAATTGTTTAAATTAAAATAAACCAACTTCAAAAGTTTGCTTTTATTGGCCTTTTTATTGGAATTACACCAATTTGCGAAGTTTTATTGGAATTGGTTAACGGAAAGTGCGCGAAACCGGACTCATCCCCTACTTTACCACCCTTAGAGGTGGAATATTTTAGAGGTACCTTAGAAGTACCTTATTTCCAACAAAAAAATAATCATAACACTCGGTTCACAAAGGCCGGAGATACACACACAAAATATACAATCGAATTGAGAACCTCCTCCTTTTTTGAAGTCGGTTAAAGTTAAGGAATTAGACGATATAAAATAAAAGGAATCTTACGTTCGGCAGCAAAAAATCCCACAGCCAGGGTGACAATAACGAAAAATAAAATATTTTCTTTATACATCTTTTTTGCAAATAATTCCGTCACTTTCGCAGTGTGAAAACTATATGTGGCCGTAGCACGGCAGTATACATATTATATCCCCATGACAATATTTATATAATGATAAGTTTGTTTATTTGGTAATAAAGTATGTTATACACTTTCCAGAAAAAGAACAACGATATGAATTTGCGTATATAGCTGTCTTTGTCGTTTAATGAAACTAAAAGTGTTGGGTTTTTGTAGTTTCTATTGTTACATATTTTACATTATTATTTATGTATTTCTAATTACTTTCATGTATTGAACTGTATTAAAAATGTTCTTACCTTTTCCCAATATTTTATATACATCAATTTGTTTGTTTTTATTATTTCTTTTCATCTCGTTTGTCGCGCTAAGTTTTTACGTTGATAAAATAACTATGTTAAAATTAGCAGTGACCTTGCAACCATCTTTGGCACTGTGTTAACCTTTTGCAGTCATTGGTTTCGGGACTCGTCATGTTAGCTATTGTGATAAAATTTTAAAATACCGGTCTAACACTCGAATTTGTGAGCTAAATGTGGATTAGCTTTATCGAAGCGGCGTACTACGGTGGCTGATCTATTTGTTACAGGCGTCTAGATGTCCCTCACGGTTGTTTTAACCATTTTAACAGTTCAGTGGTCATTGTTATTCAATAGTAGTGCTGATATTCTACATGTCAAGTAATAGGTAATACCTGATACGTAATCGAAGACTGCTACCTAATTTTAGACTGACTCTATATTGACAACCATCTAATTCAAGAATGTGATCAAATCGGATACCTCAGAGTATTGTATGTTAAGAAGTTAACATTCGTTCCACATTAAAGAAAATGATATCAAGCGTGCATCCAAAAAGTTTGGGTTTGTTATGAGAAACACCAAGGACTTTAAAATCATTAAAACAAAGATATTATTGTACCAAAGTTTAGTTCGTAGCACATTAGAGTATTGTAGTGTGGTGTGGCGGCCACAATTCGTAGTTCATTCATTGCGATTGGAGAGAATACAGAGGTTAAATTATTTCAAAATGTTTTCTCTTGAACAATTGAGAAAACTTCTTGATTTTTTATTTATAATTTAATGTACTGCGTAACCACATAAGTTGCCCTCAGTTGCTAGCTCTTTTCAATTACCGTGTCCCGTCGAGACTACCTCGTCACCCCATCGCACCTCTCTATCCCCCGTTAAGACGCACTGTGTTAGGTGCAAACTCACCTGTACCCAGACTGTCCAATCTGCTTAATCAAATCAGTCACCATTGTGACATACACCATATTTCACTTAGCAAGTTCCGCGCGCTTGTTCTCAGCTATTCTTAATTAAGTAGTTTTTTTTTCGTCTCTGTTTTTATCTTCTATATCGTTAAATAATCAGATGTAGTCACTGTTTAACCTTAATGTTCTTTTGTCCTGTCCTGCGTGCCCCTACACCTACACAGGCGAGGACCTGTACAACGCCACTGATAATGCTGTGTCAGTCGCTGAGTACTGGTCCTCACAAATATAAACGTCTGAGTCGACACGCTAAGAAGAAGAAGAATCTTAATGTATTTCATTACGTGTTTACAATTATAGCATGCGGTGTTTGCCTGTAATTGACTGTTGCACATAGCATTAAGGCAATATTGAACTTTCCTAGTTGTAGTTTTAGTGTAAGCAGTTGTTGGTGAATCAATAAAAAAAACTTATACAAAAATCCCCATCTCTCTGACCATGCTCTTAATTATAATATGACCGGAAATGGAAAATAGACACTATAATTACCGTTATAAGATTGATAACAGTTTGTTAAACAGGAAAACAATTATCATAAACATAGAATTACATAGACAATATTTCTAAATTTTAGGCACTCTTGTTCATACTACCACAAACACAACAATAAACACGTCTGAGTAGTCCTTTCTTAAACACCAAGCAACCCTTTTAATTTTATAATTAATGGCGAGTGTGACAACCCACGCTATGCAACGCGAGTGCACTGCGGGATTATGCGAATGTGTGTATCCGTAGAAGGCACGCGGAGGGCGTGCATACATACAAGCCATATTTGTCTTAATTATGGTTCAGCGACCATAGACGAGGCAACCCCAAATTTAGATGTAGTGGCTTCGAAATAGTCGTCGAATTTGTATAACAACCGCGCTGCATTCGGTGTGTAAAGTTTTAGATAATAATAATAATTCATTTATTTGTTTAAACACAGGTTGTATAGAAGTTGTTATCTACCAAATAAGTATAGTTTCATTGTGTCCGGACAAACATTAAGCATACAAATATTGAAGGTGTATTATACATTCACTCAATGCACTTCGACAGACTAAACCAGGTGTAACATGTTTCTTTTTCAATAATATTACATGGGCGTGCACACACGGTTTTAATAAGTCGGTCAGTAAATTAATTGCGGTGATATTTACATGGATCAATTTTAATGGTAACTAGATGTCAACCTAATATCATTATATGAATAACGTCAATGTATACTAATGTGAAAAATTAGACAGGGAATTTAGGGATTTGTTATTTAAAAATTCCGATACGTTTATTACATTTTATTGGTTATTAACATGTTTTTCTCAGATCTTAGTACTTTCGGTAAATTATTGTTATTTAAATGGATTTCCATATCTTATTTACTCAACATTATTTATTATTTATAGTAGAAGAGAAATGCATAATCCTGTTAATAACATTTAATTTTCCAGTAGCCCGGGATCAGTAGAATTAATTACTCTTCGGGCAATCCTCGACACGAATACAAACTCCTTTATCGTCACGTATGAATCCTGGCGCGCAAACGCACCCCGCGGCGCAGTTATAATGGCAAATTGGTTTACGATCTGCGCAAGTTGGCTGGCATTCTTTCCTACAGTTGTCGAATACTTCGTTCTCATTTACACATTGTTCTGGAAAGAAAAGTGTTTTACACAATTTTTATTCACACATATTAGTTAACGTATTTTAGTGTTAGATAGTTCATAGCGGCCATGTTTATGAGGCTACTTTTATCAGTCACTAAAGACAAATCATCATGGCGCGTTTCAGCATCAAGCAACATCTACAAATGATAAAATAAAGGCTTATTCCCATTTGATCCCCATACTTAACCCCTGGGGATCTGTTCCGTATTAAATTATTTTCTATTCCCATCGGATCGGCAGTGGATCAAGAATAATTTAGTATTTTCTGTTCCCACCTGATACCCTGGTAGTTCCAAGTTTATTTTTGGTAGATACTGTGGTACTTTCAATAAGAAAATGTATCTATCTCATCAAGAAAATGTATACCATTATATGTGATAATCATAACATTAACCTAATTGTAAATTCAAGACTGATTTATGTTACTTGTGATTTGCAATATGCCAATATTAATGACATGTAACAAAAAAAATTATTGTCTATGATAATCTGTAACATTTGCTCATAATTCCTCAATAAATTATTGTTTGATTTCAAAACTTATTTTTCTCTTGGCTGTATTTATCTTACAAATACAATGAGGGGATCCGTTGGGACTTGAAATATATAGAGGGGATCAGTTGCCAATTTTAAATTGGCGGTGGTTCAGTTTTGGGGATGGCAATAGATCTAAAAAAATATTATCAAAATGGGTGTTCTATTGTGACAACGATGCGCGCGTAATAAAGTGCCTCGTGTTCTCCTGCTCGAGTTACATTGCTGCGGAACGGTCATGGGCCTTTTCAAAATAATGTCATAACAAAACCAATTGGCATGCCACAAGTCATCCTCCATACATAATTAGTAGCAGTATAACTCGTGATAGAGTTCGTCCAGGGAAGTACTGCCTCCCAGTGGCGTGCACACGGTTTTTAGTTGGGATAGGCACAAAAAAAAACTATTAAAAAAAGCAAAAAAATTAAGCACTTATCAAAATCAAATCAAGTGTGTTCCTGTGTGAATTACAATGTTATTGTGCCGTGTTTTTTAGCTGAAGAGTTCTTTTAGATCGACATAACCGGTGTCATTCAAAACATTTTGAGAGTTTGTGGACAAAATACAAGAAACACAAAACAATCTATAAGTGTGCACAATGTTTAGTTGGCTTACTGGATGTCAGCCAACTAAACATTATAATAAATGAATTGTGGAATTAACGAGTTACATTGTCTTTAGTTTGAGATAACTGTAAGTCGGGTACACATCGCCCTTTCTTAACTACTTTTAGTTTACCATTAAAAGGGAACTTGTTAAAATCGCCGTTAATTAACTTTCGAGAACACACACAATCAACACGACCGTCACCTCTAAAACACATATTTATTGAATTATGACACAATCTCACAAGAAATTATATGAATAAAGTAAGAAAATTACATAAAAACAAAATACTTTACAAATAGGGTCACACCGGGGTCACAGCAAAAAACAAAATTATGGCGATTAAAGTTGGTAAAACAGGACGTGCCAAAATTACATAGTAATAGCAAAACAAAACAACTACTTATCACATTTCATCTTATAATACGTGGGGTGTACTAAAAGTTTCCGGAACGAATAAGAAATAAATGCTTTATACGGTCAGAAATGAATTTATTGTTTCTCAAAATATTCTCCGTTAGCGTTAATGCACCTTTTCATACGAATGAACTAATTTTAAAAACATTTATGCCACTCCTCCGAGACAATCTCTGAAACATACTTTTCATATTCTTCGACAGCCTCGTCAGGTGACGAAAATCGTTGACCGCGTAACTGGTTCTTAATTTTTGGAAATAAATAAAAGTCACAGGGTACCAGATCGGGACTGTACGCGGGATGGCTCATAAGGTCAACATTGTTCACCTTCAAAGATTCATTTGTCTGTCTGGCCGTGTGAGAACTCGCATTATCGTGGTGCAAGATTTTATTTATTTTTGCGGAGTTTGTCAATAACTTCCGGCAAACAAAGGGTCGTGTACCAATCACTATTCACGATACAACGAAACAGTAGCCACAGCAACAGTAGCCACGTGTCCAGTTTTATTGAAAAAAGAAGCAATCATCCGCTTCGAGGCACTTTGTACGCGCGCCACTTTGGTTGGTTTCGGCTTATTGCTGCTTTGTTTTGGGATCGTAACTATAAATCCATGTTTCGTCAATCCAGCTGATTTCCCCTTCGTTGAATCTGGTAAGCTTGTCATTGCACCAAGTGACGCGATCCGTTTTATGAGCCTCAGTCAAATTGTGTGGGATTCACCGAGAGCACAGCTTTTTCACACCCAAATGTTTGAGTAGTATTGATTGTATTTGACTCTTGCCTATGCCTAAAGATGCCCGAATCTCATAGTATGTCACATGCCTGTCTGTTTTGATCATACGGCGCATAGCATGTTTTTGTTGTTCACAGCAGTGGACGGGCGATCATCACGAAATTCGTCATTCACACGACCGCGTTTAAATTGTGCAAACCAGCTACAAATAGTCGTCTTGCATGGTGCTTCATCGTCAAAAGCAGTTCGAAGCCAAGCTAAGCTCCGCTAAGCTGTTAGATTACGCTTAAAATCATAGAAAATCATACTATGACAATTTTCACGAGTTAAATCCATGGAGATGTAGACAACCAATTACTAAAGTGACGCCACAATGTAAAAACAAGTGACAGTCAGATGAAACAAACTGTATTCTACAGCCAAAGAGTTCCATTTTCAAATATTGTTATACTTTTTAAATATTGTTTATGTAAGTGGCTAGTTCCGGAAACTTATAGTGCGCCCTATGTACCTTCGCGCATGCACGGCGGCATCACAACGAGCCATCATGTACCGCGTAATATCCTAGAAAGACTGCGACTTACATGATAACTTATGCCTTATTGTTTTGAACGAATGAATCAAATCCGGCCGGACTTGATTTTGTATGGAAAATTATGTCGTGTATTTGTGTGCATCACGTGTAAATGTAGTGCATAAAACCTATTCATACGGAGTTTTCGGAGAGAAAATAAATGAATTAAGTATTAATCGGAGAATATTAGAGCAGAATTCGGTATTATGAGTGTTATTTTTTGGTAGGGTAGGCAGTGCCTTTGCCTATATGAGGCGCACGCCTCTACTGCCTCCATACAACGTGCCTTTAAAGTGGGCCTTGTCAACGTTATGTCTCAGAATGACAGGTGCAGTGGCGATGACCCTCGGATTTTTGAAACTTTATATTGTAGCTTATTTTGTACAACTTCTGCGTACTTGGATGACGAAAATGCATAGTATTGACCCGTGGAAAATGGCTCTTGCAGTTGAGTAGATCTAAACTAAAATAGTTCATTTTTGTCTTATACGAAAGAAGTAAATTTTATTGTAAAAATGACACCACGCTTTTTATTGTTTAAATCATTGACTTACAATTATATGGACGTCGGGTCCGCGCTAAAAAGTGTCCGCACTTGTAAGGCGCTAAAATCGTATACAGAGCGCGACACTCCGCTTTAGTCTTCATTTGTTCTACTGACAGCGTGATACTGCGATGACATTACAATTTAAATTTCGAATAGGTTGACTTGGGACATTTTTTTCGTGGTTTTTGTATTAGACCCGTCGTCCATTTATTTGTAAGTCAACGGTTTAAATAATCACAGAATGAGAACATGAACCTGTGTACAATTTGTTTGCTTTGCATTCTAAATATTCTGCAGTTGTTTTTAAATTATCTTCCTGATGATTTAGATTTTTTTTTGCAACATCTTGGTGGTAAACTACACGCCTGTCCACAATATTTGCAGTGCCACTCAGAGCTTTAAATCGCAAAGATCTGAACACTGCCACTGCGCCCGTCACCTTGAGACAAGTTGACAAGTCCCATGTGCCTGTAATGTCGCCAGCTCACACGACCGCTTGGCTGCAGAAATCAGTAAGGTGGCAGTACTTCCTTGGACAAACTCGTTCACAAGTAGCTCTACTGCTACTACAAGATTATTAGATATTCCGTAGTTAATTTTAAACCATCCTCCTAATGATTTGGGTGATTTGGTATCTTCTCTTTTATTCTGGAAAGCCATCGAAATGTGTACAAATGTTTATTTGCAAAGAATAGAGTATTTTAATTAAGGATTTTAGGCTCTGAGTACTGCAACTGTTATGGGTAGGCATGTCACTTACCATCAGACGTACGACTTGTCAAAAAAGAAAGATGGTATTCCGGGATTGTCACTTACCTTTAATGCACTCAACACTATCAGCTTCTATACAAATCTTGAAACGATTCCTCAAATAGCCTGGCTTGCAGTCGCAGCCTATGACGCACTGTTTGGTGCAGACTACGTCAGTCTCAGGGTGCATACAGTTGGGGGGGCAGGCAGTAGTACACGGATAGAATTCTTCGTTAGGTGGGCAGTCATCTGGAAATTATTTGTTTTACGTGATAAAAATATGGTAATGTCACACAGTACAAAAAGTCTGATGGATTCTTCTGAAGACACTTCACGGGATCCGGTTGATTATCAAGGGACTTCTTACTCATTTATCATCGTATCCTAAGTAGAATCACAATTATTTTATATATGTATGAAAAACAATATTAATTCCAGTGCATTTTTTGCTATCTGTCTACATTTCGTGTTACAATGGAAAAGATGATAGTCATTTGGTTGGTTGTGTATTTTTAAATGTTATGATATATTTTTAACGATATATGTTTTGCAAACACAACTAGACAGCCTCAGCTTTTCCATATAACAAATAAAATTAGTTATGATTTTTATTTCTTAAAAAATCACAATGAAAGTCCACTTGTTTAGGCACTTAACTAATTGTAAACAATCTTGAGATGTCTATTTAATGAAATATATATATTGCCTTCAAATACAAAATACAAATACTTAGGTTCATATGAAATTGCATGCCTATTTTTATACCTGTTGATTTCTAAAGTAGATATGTTTCAATAAAAAGATGTATCACAATTGTTTACATTTAGTTAAGTACCTAAACAAATGGACTGTAACACCACGTACAAGAATTATTAGTAACCTCGCCTTACTGGTAGATGGCGTTGGGATCAAAATAGAAAGCGCTATTGAAGTGTTCAGTAAACTACCATATAAGGTATTAAAGAAGCTTGTTTTGTAGCAGACGGTGCATGATGCACTCGATCACTGTCAGTCATCCCAGTCGGTTGTGTTTCAGGTACCTGCTCCGCTCGTCCGACCGCTCGCCCGGTCGTGCCCCGCCTTCGTTTTCTTCGTTTTGTCTTCTCTGGATTGGCATCAATGTCAAGATCCAATCGTCGTCGGACCATCGCCGCCTTACCCGTCTTTTAAATGACATGAGTGTAAACTACTACACCTACGTGCTCCCCGAGGAACGCGTACTCCGCGTTGTCATCTGCGGGCTCCCAAAGAAGCTAGATACAGAGGTCATCGCCGCGGACCTCAAATCCCAAAACCTCCCTGTATTACATGAGGTTCACCGAATGTACAAAAAGCCTTTCCCGCGAACCATACGACATTGTGCTCGCCGTCCTCCCCTCACACCCGAAGGTAAGAAGGTCTTCAACCTGACTACCTGCTGCCAACTCACCGGCTTAACCGTTGAGCCTCCGCGCAAACGTGGCATTGGCCACAACTGTCAACTGTACGGTCACGCGGCCCGTAGTTACCGCTCGCAACCCCGCTGCGTAAAATGCGCAGACTTCCACGCGACTTCAGCCTGCTCTAGGCCTAAAGACAAGTCCCAGTGCACCGAGCCTCCTCGGTGTGTTCTGTGTGGGGAGTCCCACACCGCGAACTATCGCGGCTGTGCTAGGCCCTCCGCCCTAACCACAAGGTGGCGGCGCGCACTGCGGCCCATCAGCAGGCTAGGGCACAACCGAAGCCCCTTATGTCCATCCGCGACTTCCCGGCCATCAGCCCTGCTCCCTCAGCCCCACTATTGCCCCAATCACCGTGGGTAATCCCTCGCGCCAACACCCCTGCGCCCGCCACTCCGAAGCAGGCAAGCCCCATCGCCTCCGCGACCCCTAAGGCAAAACCATAGCCAGCGCCTTCTGCGCATCGACCTACCGCGAACGTTCCACGCCCCCCCGCGCCGATACCACCACTGACTCACGCCCTTAAGGACGACCTGGCCCTCGTGAGCCACTTTGTTAGCACCTTCGATGTTTTCGAAGTTAAAAATCTAGCCACGCTCCTCCGAGCCACCGACAGAAACGGCACTGCGCGTCTTCAAGCCATGTCCCGTTTCAGCTCGCTCGTAGAGTCACTAAGCAAATTCTCCACTTCTTCGTTCTCTCTCTAAATGGATTTATTAAACAGTAGGAGGAGAGTCAAGACACGATCAGCAAAGCTAGCCTTTTTTAACGCGGATGGCTTATCGAGCCAACGCGATGAAGTTCGAACCGTCCTCATAGACCACCAACTCGATGACCTGTTAATTCAAGAAACCTTCTTAAAACCCTCCGCTCGAACTCGAACATGGGGATGTTTGAAAACTATTGCGCGGTCCGCAATGATAGATTAAACTCTCCCCTCGGCAGTACCATTATATACTACAAACGTTCACTTCACTGCATCCCTCTCGACCCACCCCCTACAACGTACATCGAATCATCACCCACCGATTACCCTCATTTCGGCCTACCTGTCCCCTGATACTTCCCGACCGCTAATTCGCGAAGATCTGCAAGCCCTCTTTTCCCTAGGAGATTCTGTAATTCTGACTGGCAACTTTAACGCCAAAAATACTGCATGGAATTGTAACACCACCAACCCGCGCGGTAACATGCTCATGACACTATCCGAATCCATGCATTTCGATATAATTGCACCCTTAGAGCCCACCCACTATCCGCATAACGTAAATTACCGCCCCGACATCCTAGACGTAGCTTTATTCAAAATAATTAACCTTAGATTAGACTCAATCCAAGCCGTTCATGAATTAGTTACGGATCACCGCCCTGTTCTCCTTCACCTCTCCCCTCGTTCGGACATAGAACCCCCCACCCCCTGACCCTTGCGCCCCCGTTAAATCGGTGTTGGGCTGGGGAAAGTTGAGTCATGACCTCAATTTCCTCGAGTCTGAACACCTAGTTCAGATTCCGGACGAGATTTCTTCAGTCGTAGACGCCAACTGTGCTATTGATCGTCTAGAGGAACACATTCAAACCGCCGTTTGTAACAGCTCCCAGCCAGCACTGGCAACGGACGACCATCGCTGGAACCTACCGGAGGATGTGCGTGCCCTTCTAGCGGAAAAGAACGCAGCCACTAGTGCTTACGACTCTTACCCCACTGACGAAAACCGCCGTTTCCTGCGGGCTTTACAGAGGGACGTAAAGACGCGTATGGACGAGGTACGTCAAAGTCGATGGGAAAAGCTTCTAGAAGGGCTCGAGCCCACCCACCAAGCCTTCCCACATCCTCCCACCTCATCCCACAATCTCCTCCGCGAACAGTTTGGTTTTAGAGCTACGCACTCATGCGTCCAGCAAGTGCACCGGAGACCTGTGAAATGTAACACCCCGTTACAGGATGCAGGAGTTTACAAGCTTGACTGTGAGTGCGGTCTCTCTTATATTGGACAAACAAAGCGAAGTATTTGTACCCGCGTCAAAGAACATATAGCTGATGTCAAACACCGTCGCGTAAACAAGTCTGCAGCCTGCGAGTATGTCATGGATAAACCTACACATTCAATGAAGTTTGACAAACCCCAGGTCCTTGCAAAAGAAGTCCGTTATCTACCCAGGATGCTGCGAGAGGCCATTGAAATTAAAAAACATCCTAATTTCAACAGGGAAGATGGTTTCTTCGTACCACCAGTTTGGGATCCAGTATTTCCTCTAATGAAAAATCCCTAACAGACATAAGACTGCAGTACTAATTAATATGTTTTAGTTTATTCTAATTTCTATTAATAATTAATAATAAATTGAACTTAATAAAAATTCATTCAATAAAATAATTTGTAAAACTTAATATAGCGTAAATTGGAATGTTTTCTTTGTAAAATTAAAAATAAGGTATTTAATTAATAACTATTGTAAGTATAGTGAAAAAATAGGGTGGTTTGCATCAACATTAGACATAACTGGTTGAAGAGGTGAGAGAGGTGGTACAGACCACCTCAGTCAACCGTGACCATGGTACCTGTAAAGGGTCCGAAACGTCGGTTTGTTTGAAAAAAACGCGATTTAAATCCGGAAAAATAGTTTCATTTCCTAAATTTACCTAACTTAAAACCTATAATGATCTACTCTTACTTTTCGCTATCAACACAGCGTTGCAAGCTTTTTTTAACGTGAATGTCTATGCGCTTAAACTTTTTCTAAACGATTTTTTAAGCTTAAAAATAAAAAGCGTCGTTTATAAAAACGTTTATAAAATTAAGTAGTTTTTTCCATTTCTACTTCAGCGTAGCCGATCGGCATGGTAAAATGGTTCGGCAACGCAGGCAGTTATTGCATATATTACAATAGTGCCTTTAACGCATAAAAATCTTAAAAATAATGCAAACTGCATGAAACAAATTACGTAATGTAAATTTTTATAGTTCCCCTGTTTAAGCATAAAAATTATCGATTAGTTTCGTTCGTAAAATCTTTAAACCTCTCACTTGTGATTTTGGAGATGTGGCATCATTACACCATGGGTGCGAATTATCATTAACAAAAAAATCGTAAATTCTATACAATTGTTGCTTATTATATTTGTAGAAGTTTGTTGTAGACTTTCGAGGCGGGACGAACAAGTCGTTGTTGGTAAGCGTAATGTGCGGCACATTACTGCGTTTCGGTTTTGACGGTAAGGGTGCCGGTAAAATTACCTACAAGCACATGAGACTTGTCAAGTTACGTCTCAGGGTCACGGAATTAGTGGCAGTGCTCCTCAGATCAGATATTTAAAGCTCTGAGTGGCACTGTAACTGCTGTGGGCTGGCGTGTTGTTTACCACTAACGGCACGACTTCGTCTCGTCACTTGATATTATAAAAAAATACCCTATACTTTGACAGCTCGAATTATGAAGTAGTTTTAATCGTAAATGTGATCGGGTTCAAAAAAGAAGATACTCGTAATATTGTCTATACGGGATCGTAATGTTGCGCTTAACAATTTGTGTATTCAAGAATTAGTAATTAATGTTAATGAGGATTCAAGTGATGATTACCGTTCATATGGAGAAGAATCCGACGATTCATTATAATAAACAATAAGAATTTATTCTAATTATTTGTAAGTTATTCTCTCTCTATTCATTTCATTATAATTTATTAGACAGGTTCCATAATTTATCAACTTGAACAGTCTTCGTTACATAATCTGTTGGCTCCATAAATATCGGAGCTAAAGAGCAATTCGCTTCACTAAAATTAAAAAATATAAGAGTCCAGAAAGTATTGCATTTTTTGTCTGTGGTTGTATGCTTAGAGGATGGAATAAAAGGGCTGTATGTCAATAATTACAGAACTTCGGACGCATGCGTATGGCAAAAGTTAAATAAGTACTCGATTGAAACACGTTTACATTTTGTCAGCGCTGGAATCCAATAATTACAGTCTACATTAGCTGTTATATTAAGCATTAAAATTATTGATAAATTCGTAAAACAATGAGCTGTTCATACTATAAACATTAAACGGTGGTCATAATAACATGTCATGGAAAATTAACAAAATCTACTTGGCTTCGATCGCTATTGATGGCGGATAGTTCGTCGACTCTCTTAAATCTCTCGACAATTTATTTTCCACGCGGTAACAAAGTTATGGCAATTGGAAACATTAAATGATCAAAGAAATTTGCAAATCGATTACTCGTTTGGATTGACCAATTACTCCTTATCAACCATTTCCACGTGTTAAAAGCCATTCGAGCAATACAGTGAATTCCTCTGTAACGACGTGGTTTCTAATGTAATGGGAAAATATGAAACAAATTACGTTGTTCATGGTTTTCTTGCTTCTGCAATGTGCTTGTGGCGTCATGATCAGTAAGTACATACCTTTTATCTTATTTCACAATTGTCCAGAAGCTATGGGCCTCATAAGAAGGTTCAAGGTCACTCAACGGACAATGGAGAGCTCTACGTGATAGAATCAGAAATGAGGAAATCCGTAGGAGAATAACCGCAGTGGGCGGGACACATTGCTAGGAGAACCGATGGCCGCTGGGGCGGAAAGATTCTTCAATGGCGACCGCGCACCGGACGACGCTCAGTGGTTAGGCCCCCACCAGGTAGACCGACGATCTGGTAAAGGTCGCGGGAAGCCGATGGATGCGGACAACGCAGGACCGATCGTCGTGGAGATCGTTGTGGGAGGCCTATGCCCAGCAGTGGGCGTCATGTGGCTGAATCATGATGAATATCCAGAAGACAGAAGCGAAAACTTCCTAATGTAAAAAGGGAAGATAAAATATATTTGTATTGGATTTTTACTCGTGCTTCAAGCCGTTGGGAAAAAATAATTGGTTTATATTAATTTAAAACCGATCTTTGTGACGATATTTTTGACGTGACGTTTATCAGGTGAAACAATTATGTAAATAGACGTCAACTCGCGTCTTAAGATGAGTCACTGGAAGAGAAGCGGGAAAAACTGTTTTGCTAGATCAAATAGTTTAGGAAGTTACTATTAAATAATGGTCTTACAAAAAATATACGATAGACCCAAGGATATTGTCTAAAGAATGTGCTAATTTGTTACCCGATAGGATGTACTTTACCTGATCATATAAAATTCTGAAAACAGGCTAAAATCACAGACTAAAACGAAGAATAAAAATATTTAAGAATAAAATATCTAATTTGCACATAATTTTTATATGGAGATATTTCTCTTTAAATATTCTTATAAAAATTTGAAAATTGCCCAGTAGTTTAACGACGCGCCGCGCCGCCGGCTGCCCCATCAGCCACTATCGGGCGATTGTCAATGTCGGATATGTGTCAAATTTTCTTCACTTGCTGTTATTTTATTCATATTCATTTTAAACGCACAGATAGCGGGACGCTCACAGCCCCGCACTAGGGAAAGCCATACAGGCTTTTGGCAGGCGAGTGCCATGGACAAACACAAAAGTCACGAAAGAAATAATTGCAGACCATACAAATCGATTCATCCGTAGAACAAAGATCTATGTGCGAGACTATTTGTTCTCAGGACATAGTACATTTCGTTCGTTCTTCTTCGCTGTGGATGTCTGTTCGACCGTTGTTCGGTTTTATATTTCCGAAACGAAATACGATATATGAATTCTCAAAACACCTTTACATAGGCCTTAGTTTGAATAACGAAATTATTGTCGTAACGTACTTATTCTCTTTTCGCTATGTATTCACATCGGACTCTGTTCTTCGGATGAGTCGAAATATTCTATGAAAAATATGATATACAATTTTGATACGGCAAACAAAATAAACATACTGTTCGTAAGAGCTCTCATGCCAAAAAAGTTTTGACGTTGGCTCCTCCCAAATTTGTGAAACAAATATATGCCTGAAGTTCGCGTGTTATGCGACAGGAGATGTTGAATTTTGCACATTAAAAGTACCAAATTCGTTTTAGCGGAATAACTCTAAAACTAAAGGGATTAAAAAAAAAATCCGTAGTGACAGTTGTCGATCATGCATAAATATAATTAATTTTCTAATTTTTGTCCTAATAACCTGTAGCATTTCGAGGATAAATCGAAAAAATGTGAAAATTAGAGGTCATTTCGTGATTTTTATCTATCGAGGAAACTTTATTGTTTTATGTTTCTGATTAATGTCTATGCTTGAATATATCGTGTAGTTACTCATACAATATTTTATTTTTAACTTTAAAGTGGATATACCCCTCTAAAATCAAATCGAAGATTAGGAATTTTTCCTCTGCTCCCTCTTAACAGTCTCTTCGACAAATCACAACATATTACATGTTTAAAAGTATTGTGAAATAATAATTTTAATCTGAAGGTTATTGTACTGCTTCAGCGTACTTAAATTACAAAAAACACGATAGCTCCATCGGGTTGTGAATATTATTGCCAATTAAACATTGTAAATGATAAATGTAAACATTATATCTATTTACAAACACCAAACCCTAGAGTTTCCTACTGATTCTACCAATGATATTAAATTTGTCATTCGACTCAAAGGAATCTGGCTTGCGAATGAGGAGTAGTGTCTATTCAAAAAGATGATTTCAAACAACAACTTCAATCTATAAACAAGAACTTTCACAGCAACTACATGTTCCATACTGTTCCAAACGTTCCAAACAAAACACTGTCAATAGTGATGATGTTTTGTTTTAGTGTTGAATGTTGTCAAAGAGTATCAGTGCCGTGGTACCGTGGGCAGACGTGACAGTTTATACCTATTGGGAATGAGCTAGCAAGCAGATGGTATTGAGTGTTTACCAAATAGTTAGGTAATGAATGTAAAGCCCCTAACAAAGTCGCTATTAGTTGCACAATACATTTCATTTTGCTCTGATCCAGGGGTCTTCCGCTAACTGTTTATAATTATTTTGTTACTAAAAAGGAAAACAAATTAAGTAAAAGAAAAAATACAGTCGAGTTGTTGAAATGATTGATATTACGTTATGTACTTTTCCTTGTGGAAAGGCAAAAATCTTTACACCATACAGCCTAGTCTTTTTTATATTCTTTTAAATTTGCATATGGTAGCCATAGTAACTATTTTATTCATATCCGTACTCTGTTATCGTGTAGTCATAAAACTCTGTTGCTTTTTAATCTATGTGTATGGGACGCCGCATCTAGTACGCTAGTACATAGATAACGTTGATTTCAAATATAATTTGCTGACATAGCAAATAGAGGGAGCATGCCAAAAAAGTTTTGACGTTGGCTCCGCCCACATTTGTGAGACAAATATATGCCTGAAGTTCGCGTGACATGCGACAGGAGATGTTGAATTTTGCGCATTAAAACTACCAAATTCGTTTTAGCGGAATAAATCTAAAACTAAAGGATTAAAAAAAAATCCGTAGTGACAGTTCTGGATCATGCATAAATATAATTAATTATCTAATTTTTATCCTAATAACCTGTAGCATTTCGAGGATAAATCGAAAAAATGTGAAAATTAGAGGTCATTTCGTGATTTTTATCTATCGAGGAAACTTTATTGTTTCATGTTTCTGATTAGGTTCTATGCTTGAATATATCGTGTAGTTACTTATACAATATTTTATTTTTAACTTTAAAGTGGATATACCCCTCTAAAATCAAATCGAAGATTAGGAATTTTTCCTCTGCTCCCTCTTAAAAAATTTTGTTTAAGTTGTAGTAAGAAAATTTTGTGTTATATTTTATATCATTTCCAGAGAGACAATGTGGCCATGAAGAAATCCATCGGTCATGCGTATTCTACGAGGAGTATACCTGCTGGGAGCGAGAGGATGGTTTGGATCGCGTGCGCAGTCCCCCGAAGCGGTTGACTCATTGCAAAGCCGATTGTTTCTGCAGGTATGTTATATTTAATTATAACTCGATTCATCATTTCAGTCCGTTTCCATCCTCTGCTGAGTATAGGCCTACTCTCTATAGCGCCGTTTTTTCCGGTCCCTTACGAGTTTTGTCCAGTGGTTTCCAACTATGGCCTTGATGTCATCAATATATCGGGTGGAAAAACTGAACGTTGTACTTTTTTAAACAAGATTTTTAGTTTGACGCTTACAAAATCGTTTAAGATAGGATAGGATAGGAGACCTCAAATGGCTTTTATTGGCAGTTGTTTTCGATGAGTCTTTTGTTGTTAGAAAGGGGGTACCTCAGTAGTGGCCCCATTTAAATTTGAAGAAAATAGTCCACCTCTAAGGGCGGCAAATTAGAGGTTTCCGGTTTGTTGCATTTTACCCACTTTCCGTTAACCGATTTCAATAAACCTTTGCAAATTATATCCTCGGTTTTGAGTTTTTGTTACATTCGCCCTTTCAACTAACGGCAGCAGCACATTGTCTACCGCTGTGGGACACAGGCGTGATGTACGTATGTGAAAAATCAATACAAGAGCTTTAACATGTCAAGACCCAAAAGTAACTAGTGTACCCTAATAAATCTCTTTACCTATTTCAGGAAAGGCTCAGTACGGGCGTATCCTAAGGGTCCGTGCATACCGGCGGTGAACTGCCGCAATGCAAAACTGATGAACCTCATGGACAATCTTCCCAATAGTTTTGGCGGATTTGATTAGTAGTATATAAATAAATTACTTCGAAAATAAAATTCCCATTATTTGTAACATTAATTTTTATGTATAAAGTGACAGTGCGCCTGATGGAAAGTGATACGCCTACCCATAACAATTGCAGTGCCACTTTAAATTGCAAAAATCTGAGGGATACTGTCATTGCACACGCCATTTTGAAACATAAAGTTGACGAGTCCGTGTTACAATCGAGCCATGACCACCGGCTTATCGTAAGCGAAATTTTTACCTAAACAGCGTTTTAATAAACAAATAAAACGTTTCTTTATTTATTCACAATTAAATTGAATTTTATTAACGGAAAATTATTATTATTATTATTAATGAAGTAAATATTAAGAACGAAATTAAATTTAATTTACATTACAAATAATAGTACAATTATAATTAATTTATTTATATTTTAAAAATGGAGTGTTCGCTTATAAAGTAGCACGTATCGCATACTGTTCTTACAATTGTATTAATTGTAATAATCACAAGATTGTAAAAGTAAAACAAAACCACGATTACGATTAAAGACAGACGCCCCGGCCACACAACACCGGAGCTGACAAACATGTCAATCTCTGCAGCTTAGAGACGTTCCTGAAAGCGTATCATTGGCGGAGGGCGTGGCCCGCCTTACCCCGGTCTTACCAGGAAGCCCGTAGTCGCTCCGAAATTCCCTTCTCTCGGTTCAGTAAATAGAGACAGTCTAGGTTCACACGGGACCGTTGCTTCAGCTGTACCAAGTACAAGTCCGATCGTGTACGGAGTACTGCTGCCACATATGGGATGGCTCTGCTAAATACCAACTGACCATCTTGGATTTACTTGAAAATAGTATCAAGGCTTATAGGTCACTCGAATTTAGTAAAGTCGAAGCTGCAGAGCCTTGAACAATCGGTATTCTACAGAATGGAGAGTGTGAGGCGGAATTGAATGATTTAATTCTGACTACCCCTTTCCATCACCAGGAGACTAGACGATGGCTTGAATTCCACCCCTATGTTGTGGATATTCCAAGCTAGAAGACCGGCTAATGAGTGGAATTCTCTGCCTGTCGATTTATTCCCCGTATTCCCTGAACGTTGTAACTTAGGTAATTTCAAAGCGAAAGTTAATAATAAGAATAAGCATTATTTAGGTGTACCTCATCGTCACTTACCACCAGGTGAGATGGAAATCGAATGCTCACTAATGTCATAAAAACAAAACTTTCCGAATTGCACCATTAGTAATAAACTTTACCAGATAAACAAGGTCAAGATTATTTATCTGACGGCAATTGCTCACATGAAGACGATTAGTATTATGTTGAAGTTATATCTCATACTTAATTTTTTTTTTCCCAAATGAAATGTTTCTTGCTAACATTTTATCAGGAATAGTTAGAAGACTATAATGATAACTTTTAAACTAATTGTTATTATTGTTTTTTATTTCAGAAACTAGTCTCATGATAATTATTAAGTTGATTTAAAGAATAATTAATAGCATGATCTCATAGATGGCGCTTCGACTAAAAAGTCGTTGAAAGACGAAGTACAAAGGACACGACGCAAGCACATAGAAAAATTCGTGAGGTCCGTTGGTTCGTTCCGTGGCTTAGTTGGTATAGCGTCTGGCACGGTATGCAAGAAGACGTCGGTTCGAATCCGACCGGATCGAAGGAATTTTTTCTGAGTGTTCGATCTTTGTATTAATAATTATAACAAACTAGTGGAGTAATTTCACAAAAAATAATTCAATAAAAATTTAATTAATAGCATGATTTAATTCTGCCTACCCCTTTCCATCACCAGGAGACTAGACGATGGAAGGATTCGCACAAAGCGTTGCGCTTTCACTTCTTATTTAGTATTTATATCAGCTCTAAGTTCTTATAGCCATCAATTCCTGAGTACTCATGTCTTTGGTGGTAGACGAGCGTGTCGCAATTCTACTAGTGATAACCATTTGGTGAATAATCACGAAAGCCTTAAAATCGATTAAAATGTAATCGAAATAATTCGATTCTTGATTACGATACTACGCTTTTTTATTGTTGATCAATATCGTAATAGTAATTGGATTGATTATTAGTAAATTAGTAACAGGACCGATTGGTACTAAATAAGTAATAGAACATTTTGTTTTTTTATTTAAAATTTATTTAGTAATTATTAGATTAGTAATTATATTCCATTATTTTTCCGTAACGACGACGAAATCGAAAATCGGATATAGGATAGTGCAACTATCGATTTATTCCAGTTTTTTTAGTAACAAGAGAAATAAATATAACTACAAATATTTCTCCCGCCCCGGGAGTCGAACCCGGGACCTCTGCGTGGCAGACCAGGATTGGTAAATCTTTTCACCACGATTGCAAGCACCTATAATTTTTTTTATTAAAATAAACCAACTTCAAAAGTTTTCTTGTATTGACTTTTTATTGGAATTACACATATTTGCCAAGTTTTATTGGAATCGGTTAACGGAAAGTGCGCGAAACCGGATTCATCCCCTACTTTATCACCCTTAGAGGTGAAATATTTTCTTCAAATTTAAATGTGAGTAATACCGAGTACCTTATTTCCAACAAAAAAATAATCATAAAAATCGGTTCACAAATGTGTAATTACGTAATGTACACACAAAAAATACAGTCCAATAAGAACCTCCTCCTTTTTTGAAGTCGGTTAAAGTTAAGGAATTAGACGATATAAAATAAAAAGAATCTTACGTTCTTCGGCAGCAAAAAATCCCACAGCCAGCCAACCAATAACGAAAAATAAAATATGTTCTTTATACATCTTTTTTGCAAATAAACCCGTCACTATCGCAGTGTGAAAACTATATGTGGCCGTAGCACGGCAGTATACATATTATATACCTGCCCGTGACAATATTTATATAATGATAAGTTTGTTCATTTGGTAATAAAGTATGCTATACACTTTCCAGAAAAAGAACAACGATATGAAATTGCGTATATAGCTGTCTTTGTCGTTTAATGAAACTAAAAGTGTCGGGTTTCTGTAGTTTCTATTTTTACATATTTTACATTATTATTTAGGTGTTTCTAATTACTCTTATGTATTGAACTGTATTAAAAATAGGGTCATCAATTTGTTTGTTTTTATTATTTCTTTTTATCTCGTTTGTCGCGCTCAATTTTTACGTTGATAAAATTACCGTGCAAAACTGTCAAAATATTTTAAAATCAGCAGTGACCTTGCAGCCTGTTTGGCACTGTGTTAATCTTTTGCAGTCATTGGTCGTGGTGCTCGCGATGACAAAAATGTGACGTCACGGTGCTCGCCATGTTACCAACTGTGATAAAATTTTAAAATGCCGGTTTAACACTTGAATTTGAGAGCTAAACGTGGATTAGCTTTATCGTAGCGGCATACTACGAGGACTGGTCTATTTGTTAGAGGCGTCTAAATGTCCTTGAGGGCTGTTTTAACCTTTTTAACAGTTCAGTACCAATTGTTATTCACTAGTATTGCTGATATTCTACATATCAAGTAACAGGTAATACCTGATACGTAATCGAAGACTGCTACCTGATTTTAGACTGACTTTAAGCTTTTTTTAAGACATGAAGTGACGGGTCGAACAAGTCATGCGCCTAGTGATAAGCGACCCGCCTCCATGACAGTTGTAGTGCCACTCAGAGCTTGAAACTGACAAAAAAGTTACTTGTCAGCCAATTCGTTCTTGATTAGGCATTGGAATGAACCAGATGCAAAAGATATTGCATGTGCATCTGAAGGTTCGGAGATTTTGCACTCGATGGATACCGCATGATTCCGTTTCTGGTATTCCGTTAAGAATGCCAGAAAGGACTGCGTGTATAGTGGTGCCGTAAAATGATAAAAAAAGTTCAATGGAAGACATTCATTGACTGTATATAATTTATTTATTTATTACATATTGCTTACAGTCAACCCAAACGCAATAGTAAGACTTAAAGCTAAATGTACAATCAATCTTAAGTCAATTACAAAAGTGAATAAAATATGAAAATTGATAAAATTATTAATACAATACCATAAACAATAAATTATTACAGATTAACATTAATGACAAAAAAAAGATAAAAATCATTTGTAATTACATTTTAAACTAACATTTAATACTACTGTCTCCGGTCAAGGACTCCAGATAGCGTCCTGCGGAAAATATGAATTTTGTTTCCGAGCATGCAAAGAGGTCCAATGAGGAGTCGAAGTTAAGCAACTGATTTAGATACCTAAGTGCACGGGGCAGGGGGGCCATCTCACTCACTCTACATCGTGTGGTAGGTACTGCAAATAACCTCATTCTATGAAGTCGCACCAGATTAGTTCTAGGTACCATAAAGCCTACCTTGGACAACAAAAAATGGTTGTATATTATTCCCCGTACCAGACGAGACACATACGTTACAAGAGCCAGATGATTGCGATAGATTGCGTCTCACTTCTAGCATTCTATAATTTACCATGCCTAAAATAAATGCTGCGGGATAAAGTAAGGGGTAATATCCGTACATCTTCTTGTATAAGTTTCGAGCAAATGTCTTCTGAATTTTCTCTAATGTTTGTGTGTGGTTATGATGGATAATATCATGATAGGCATTGACTTACAAATAAATGGACGACGGGTCTAATACAAAAACCACGAAAAGAATGTCCCAAGTCAACCTATTTAAACGTAGTGACATGTAAAGGAATATGAAAAAGCTAAAACGTTGAATTTAAATTGTAATGTCATCGCAGTACTGTCTAATTTTGCTTGCTTCGCTGTCAGTCGAACATACGAAGACTAAAGCGTGAATGACGCTCTGTATACGATTTTAACGCCCTATAAGTTCGGACACTTTTTAGCGCGGACCCGACGTCCATATAATTGTAAGTCAATGGTGATAGGTAACGAAACCTGGGTGCATACTGCTTTGAACCTGAAAGAAAAAGCCAGTCCGCAGAATGGGTCCGCAGAAAGTCGGAGCATTGGCAGAAAATTGTTGCTTCTTTAATCGGCAAGTCAGGACATTACACTACTGTAGCGCTTGAATACCAAAGGACAGTAATTGCAGATTGGTATGTAACCACGTGCTTGCCCAGAGTGTTAGAAAAAATTCGCGAAAAGCGTCCTCGAAGCAACATCGTCCTTCGTCACAACAACGCCTCTGCATATTCCGCTAAGGTAACGAATGCGTATTTGAAGGCCTCAAATGTGGAGCTCATGACCCATCCGCCATACAGCCCAGACCTTGCACCATGCGACTTCTTTTTATTTCCAAAAATCAAAGATAAACTTAGAGGTTTCCGATTTACAGGCCCGGAAGCGGCGGTGAATCCATTAAAGAGGTCCCTACGGCAGACTGGTCTCACTGCTTTTCACAATGCAAAAGTATATAAATAGTGCGGTCATATACTTTGAAAAACAATAACTCTATTACAAACATAATATCTGGCCTCACTTGTCAGATTCTAGAATCTTGCAGTATGGCCTAAGTATAATAACAATTTATTGGTTTATTAAGTGCTAACTGTCGTTTACGAGTTTTATACATTTTTTCGTATAATGTGTAGTTAAATATTATTGATATTAACGATTTTATATCACTACTTGCTTTAAGCTGAAAATTAATTAGATCCTTAAATATGAAATTGCCGATTGCAAATACTAGGTAGTTTGAACTTCGATATATTTTACTTTACTTAGAGTTTCAAACTCAAGGTATAGTTAAAATATGGGTATGATATTTCTTTTAAAAAATCAGTTATTCACTTGTTTTTCTGCCGTTCGATTTTTCTTTGATTAAGCTGTTTGTGTGACCATGGAACGCTGTACAGACAGCACGCAATATCAACGACATGGTAACGCAAGTAAGCGCGCAGTGCGTTTTTGGTTTGATCGCCTCCGTTTTGATAACGATGAATTGAAAGCCATAGTGGTGAAAGGGTTGTAACCCTAACTAGCCGTGAGCATGTTCACGGCAATGAAATGGGAAACTTCCGGTCCACAAAATTTATTAAAGACGTAAAGTTTAAAGAAAGGCTGTAACAATATAAACGTAAATGTAAAAAAAACAGGTATAACATTATAAAACACTCCCTACACTTTATTATTAAGGCACTTACCCCTAAATGGGCCGAGAAACTGAGTTACAGAAATTGATACATGAAAGGTGTAGACTTATAAATTATTACACATGATTAGCTTATTAACAGCTCTGACTGTTGTGGCGGTCAAGCTGGGAGTGATCGTGGTACGAAAACAAAATGAGAAAGTGAAGGAAGATGGAACAATTCAAATTTAAAATTTAAATACAAGTAAAATAAAAAAAATGATAAAATACAAGGGGCGAGAGGCGATACAAAGAGGTGAGATGACGGTGTAAGGAGGTCACACCGTCACAGTGGCAGCAGATTCATCTCAAACTACGACGTAATTAGCAGCAGCTTTCAACATAAGTGACAAATGATATTGATGCATTTGAGTCAAATTTGAAAGATAAAAAAGCTAAGAAACTGACCAACATCAACAAAATCGCGTCAAAGCTTGCCTTGACTTGTTGAAAAGGCCAAAACGACGGGTTTCTAAACTGAATTGCCACTTGTAATGAAAAGCCACTTCTTGTACTGGTTGGCCACATGGGAGGCAGCCAAACCATGTTCCAAACGCAAATTGAGTCAAAAGAAGCTGCTTGTAAGTGGACCTGTGAGTGGATCAATAATTGCTTAAATAGAGAAAAGAGAAAAGTTCAAGGAGACTGGTATCATGACTGTGGCATCACAGTACATTTACTCAAATATTTTATATGCCCGTAAAAATATACATAATTTCAATAAGAAAGAAGATATCCATAATATTAACCATAGAGCTAAGTCCAAACTCATGGTGCCACGATTTCGTTTAACCAAGGTAAACAACTCTTTTATGGGGAACTGTATACGTTTTTACAATAAGATTCCGGAGCATACATTAAGCTTATCATTTCCTAAGTTTAAAAACTACATTAAAAATATTTTGATCGAAAAATCATATTACAAAATTGAAGACTACGTGTTAGATAAAGATGTATGGAAAGACGACATGGCTCCAGAATCCACACAAATTTGATTCAAAGTGTATTCCATAGCATTTAAGTTTATTTGAAAAGGCCAATCCCTAGTTTCTTGCTCGTTCTTCTCAGGGAGGTCAGCGTAGTGAACGAGCAGTAGCTTAAATGTGACGTTTTCAAGTGTAAATTTATTTTACCTATGGAATAAATAATCTTTGACTTTGACTTTGACTTCGAATTGATTTAGTATTAGCATTACGCCTTCGGTCCGGATACATTCCATTAAATAAGTTTGCGTATATGAGGAAGAAATAGTTATTTGTTCAACAAGAGAGCAAAGTCGTTTTTTGGTGCGAGTGCTGTTTTTGAGTCCTGAGCAAGCGAAAGATTCTATAGTTGAATCACGAGCGTAGCGAGTGATTCAGAATTAGAATCTTGAGCGAAGCGAGGGACTCAAAAATACGAGCTGCAAAATAACTTTGCTCTCGCGTGATACATACAACTTTTCACCTCAGCAGCGAGAACATATATATATACTAAAGGGACAAGTAATAAAAACACGTCATGAAAGCAAATGCATCATTGTATATTTACAAAAATACAGAATTTACAAAAAATTAAAAGTGGAACGTGAAGTTTGTACAATTCTGTAGATTAAAAGTTACTGTTTTATTTGGATTTTGAAATATGTCGAATTTGTATTAGACCCCTTCGCATTAAATGACAAGTCTCCACTTAAAAAGCAAAAAGCTACTTTTTCTCACGGAGTGAGCAAAATAAGATTTTGCTCACTGATTTCACACAGCAAAATAGCCTTGTTC